AAATTAATTAATATATTTCAAAAAATACAATTAAAACTTTATGTTCTATATTTTTTACTCTACATAAGAGATATCATGTTTAAAGTAAATCTATCGTAAATTATCCTAAATAAAACAGACTTCTTAATTTATTATAAAATTCTATTATGCATTTTGAGATCCCTCTTACACTTATGTATACATAATATTTAATTTATATAAAAGAAGAAATTTATTGTGAATGTATTTTTTGCATTTATATACTTTTTATTTCCAGAAAAATTTCGAAATGTACTGTGATAACAAATACACACAATGCGATAATAACGATAAAAAATTACGAAACTAAAAATTTATACTACGCCGTACTAACACAGGTTAATTCGATTTGAAGCACAAACCATATTTATGTACAATGCAATATTTAATTTAATTTATTTATCTTTGTATTTTAATTTTATTATGTACATGAATTACTTGTATTATTATCAATAGCTTCCGTATTTGTTTCTACTGTACTATTTACGTAGAAAATATTTTCTTCTTTATGAATATCCAATGTGTTTTTGTCTTTTTCTAAAATACTAATATGTTCAGTTGTTTCATCTATAACAAGATTTTATTATACACATATATTATTTATATTTTTGGCTTAATAATATTTTATTTTATCTAGACCATACCATTTGTTTCTTTTTCACAAATGTTTAATGCACTTTCGCTTTCTTTTGAGGATAAAATAGGTTGAGCGTTTTTCCTTTCTGGTAATACTTGTAAAAATGCTTCTTGCCATGTTTCACCTTCACTAACTCGAAGCAAAATTTCAAATACTGGAAAAATCTAAATATTATATTTGCTAATATATATATATGTATTATCACACTTACCATGATCAACGGTTAAAACCTTTCTAGCCTTCATCTCTAAAAATTTGTCTAAAGGAAGTCTTCCATGCCTTACGCCGGCCTGTTTTGCTACCTTGTGACATAAACCCTAAAAACATAAATATTATATAAGAGAATTTATACAAATCAAACAAGCTAGCTTACCTTATGACTATTATGATCAACAAGACCACCTATAACATACACACAATCATGTTCTAGATGATTGATCACATTTTCTGATTCACTAGTTAGATATATAATCTTCTCTTTCGGATAAATATCCAAATAAGTTTCTACATAAAATTTTACCTACAGAATAATATTTAAGCCACTAAATGTCCTAAGTGCTTTAATCTTTTAATAAACTGAAACATATATTACTTACATCCCAATGTTGATACCCATTATGTTTTTGCATATGTGTTCTTGACGTACCATTGAAGCCAGTAACAGAAAACTGCATTGGTGCAAGAGCTCTTCTATTCAATGTATAACATCTTAGTATCTGCTTTGTTAACTTTGCAATATCTTTATCAATCATTAAATCATCAAAAGACATGTCAATAGACACTTCAATTTTACAACTACTGTCAGCCATGGTACTTTTTTTTAAGGCCTTCCTAGATGGTCCAAGACTTATATTATTTGCACGAGCATATGCCCGTTTCTGCCTTGCTTTTTCTCGTTCCTTTAATCTATAAAAACACGTTAAAACATTTTTATTAGAGATTTCATTATAATATCTATTAGATAAAATATAGTAATTATTATATTAATTAATTATTTGTATAGTCAAATCGTCAAATTCCAAGTTAAAGAATTAAAAAGTAATACCTTTTTTCGCTCTTTCGTTCTAACCATTTTTCTCTTCTTTTGATTTTTTTTAATTGACGTTTACTCATATTCGTATTTAACATCGAACATTTTTTGTCGACGTTATGACAATCTTCGCAGTCAGGAATATTTATACCTTGTTCATCACTCTCTGTTTTTCCACTGTTATTTGTATTTTTCTCGTTTTCCATGTTATATTATAAAAAATCCGGAAAGAAATAAAGAACTCGTGTTTTTGGTCATCAGTGATATTATATCTACATAAATTCGAACATAATTACATTCTGTAAAAATGATAAAATTACAATAAAATGTAAAACAGTAATAATAACAACATATTGTTTTTATTTATTGTCAAATCACTTATTATTATAAAGTTATTTTAAATTATGTCAGAGTATAGAGTATTTCACCCGAAAGACAATCTTTATAACTGAGTTTATAATCACGTAGCATCAGTTCATTCATGATATTTGCTTCGTTGTATATTGATAATAGAAATGAACAAAATTAATTGTTATAACTAAATTCTAATGTTGCATAAATAATTTTAACCAAAAAATGACACGAAACATACTTAAAGTTACTAGTAATGTTATAATAGGGAATCAGGAATGTTGGCAGTTAAGTCAATAGTTCCTAGAGAAAAGAGTCATCTGAATGAAAATCTAAATCATCTTTTCACAGTAAGAGCAGACGATTTTTTAACGAGTAAGCAACGTGTTCCATCGGTTTTTCTGAAGCGGGAGAATGCACGTTATTGGGGTCGACGGTCGTGTCGTCGGCTACTTGTTTTGCTTTCTAATACTCCAAGCAAAACTCACAAACTCGCGAACTTCTTGGAGGCTCAGTGCTGATAAAATCGTTAAGACAACAGACTTTGTGAGTACAGTGGAAGATGATCCTATTTTTGATATCTTGGCGAGTAGCGTCAGTGTCGGTAATGGACAGAGCTGGAGTAGAACTGCTATTTCTGACAAACATGAAAAAGTACAATCTTATTGTCAAGACTGCAAAAATGTTCTTTCTGGAAACCATGAACGGTAAGAAACCATGAAGCTCTGGTTAGTCTTGGGTAAGAGCGAACTGGCATGTCTTTTTTTTTCTTGATATAAAGTTAGTATCGCTTTGATTTGTTGAAGACAAATGATCACTGATGCTTTTGTGTTGAAAATCTAATTGTGCACTGATGTATATCACATAAAACTTGAGTCGGATACTACTTGTATTAAATAACAATTACAAGATTCCAGTAACAGAATGAAACATTCTTAGGTACAGATGTACATTTGTAAACTTTTGGTATATGAATTTTTAAGATTTTGGAACGATTAATATGTTTTATTATTGCTTTAAATTGAAGAATTGATATTTAATAATGACATCATAGTTTATATCGTAAATAATTATCAATGTTGAATAATTTTCTGATTTGTGTGTAGACCTGTTTTTAAGTTAGGATACTTAAACAGTATAAAAGAAATTATATTTTTAAATGCAAGTAGTTATTGCATGTTTAATAGTTGGATTATTGTTTATTAGATACGTATATTTTACGGACAACAGTTTTGCATGTGTAGTAAAGTATACTTTGTCCTTTTATAAATTACAATAAGTATTAAAATTTATGAAGCCTTTAAATCTTTAAAAAAATAGTAAATAGGAAATAGATTATACGATACGCACAGAAGTTCCTGATTTAAGAAATATGTTGAACTCTGTTTATTTTCATACATTTTATTTAATTATAATTATTTTTTATAGTATCTTAAATTTTGTTCCAAATACTTGTTATAAATAATCCAACGTAATTTTGTTTTTATTCCTGTAGTTAGTATTTGTGTGTGGCTTACTGTTCTTTCAGCGTTAAAAAAGCGTTAACTTTGGTCCCCTTGGCAGACGATTCTCGTCATACGTGTTGAAAGATACTCCAAATGCCACTGAACCTTTTACTCTATCATCTCAAACGTCGGGTGAGCAAGTCATATGTACTTCTGGCCAACAATGCGAGGACATAATCTTGGACTGTGGAAAGCCTGTCAATTTCACCTATTATGACAACTTGCTTGGTGTTGCCAATAGAGATAAACATCCATTGGTTCCAGAACCTAATGTAGCACTCATGTTTAAAAAGAATGGTGGTAAAACTATGGACGTTGATATTGATTTATTAGAAAAACGATTAATAAAGGCTAAACGAGAGGTACATCACAACTTTAAAAATATTTGTAACAAAAGTAATTAAATATGTGTAAAACTGTATGTTTACTTATTATTGCATAAAACTGTTTTCAGAAACCAAAATCGGTACAGCTTTATAATCAAATAGGAAATTTCTGGCGCATAAAAGGGGATGCACAAAGATCAATTGAGTGTTTTCGAAGGGCACTTGCAGTATCACCACATAATGCAGAAGTTCTGTTAAATTTGGCTAGAGTATTATTGGTACAACAATATTTAGATGATGCAACATATTTAGCAAGACGTTCTTTGGAATTGCAACCCCCAGATCGTAATGCATGGGAACAATATCTTACACTTGGTCAAATATTTAAGGTGATTTGAAATTCTGAAGATTTTTTTATTATTTTTCATAAACAAGAAAATATCTTGTCATTAATTTTTCACTTCTATTTTTATATGTATTATTTAGTTATTCAAAACACAAAAATTAGGTGAATATTATTTTAATTAATCAATAATAAATTAAATATTACCATGTATTTATTTCTCTTTTGTAGGCATATGGCCATTACCAAGAAGCAGCTATACACTTGCGACATGCTTTAGAATTAAAACCAGATCTTTCTGAAGCTGCTGAAGCTCTAAGAGAAGTAGAATCGCTTCCGGCTGCGAGCATACATATCTATACATTACTGATAATCATATGTTTGGTGTGTAAGATAAGAAAATAGTATTATATTACGTTATAAATGTAGTACTTCATATTTAAATGAATATATATAATTAGATATATTTTTTTTAGGTGCTTGGAGTACTATTAGTAGTTTTAAGCAACGTGGAGTGCGACGAAGATTCTAGTCTAGTCAGTGGACAACTTCAACGTCCAGTACAACGTCATTTTAGTCGTGCTATGGCCATGCGAAGTTTAAGGCTTAACGTTGCTCGTAATAAACGTTGTTGATAATTTACTGAGATAAATAATCTTGTGATAGAATAAAATTTCCAACTGATGTTATCATTTATCTATCTCTGAAGTATTATTTGTAATAATTCTTTAGTGTATTAATAATTATGCAATTTATTATAACTACGAACGGAAATATACAATAGAAAACAATAATATTTTTCATTTACTGTAACGAGACAAATTACATTGTGTATGTGCGCGCGTGCGCGTGTATACATCTATACACAAGGATGTGTGTTTCGTATAATTTCTTTATAAATTAGGAACGGAATGTAACTTATGGAATTGAAACATATTTTTTCTGATACACTAAATATTAACATACATGTTATTAACAACATTACTTAGCATCATTTACAATGTACAATGATACTAGGCTATATAAGTAATTTTCTCTCTTATTCTAACCATGCAAGAAGATCTAATTTTTGTATCTGTAAATAATTTACAGTCACACAATTTAGAATATAATAATATGTACATGAAACAGTTAACTCTTTCCATTCTTGCGAATGAAGATATGTAATAAATTTATTCTTTCTTGATTACTTTGGATATAGATTAGATCTTTGCATTTAATTATATATTTCTTCATTTTTTTTCTAACAATGTTTTAAATGTAAAACAGATTTGTTTTACATTTCTTTATCCGTTTTAATGCGTTAAAGCACATCATTTTTACAAGCTTTTCTTCTAAACCTTAATTATTCTACACAGTATTTAATTGAAATTTACATCGGATTAAATAAGTTTCTGAAGTATGAAAATACAATACAAAAATTTGATGTATAATTTGGTGGCATAATGAAAATGATATGAAATTATTCCCTTAGAAATCTATTGATATAAAATTAAAATAAAATTAAAAAATTTGGAACACTCATACAATTAGGCCTTTCGTCTGCATTAGCCTCTTCAATTTTTGTTTTATGTACAAACACCAGAAACTAATGTAAACTAAGACTCCATACGTCATATTTAATTTATACACCTTTAAGGGTTTTAACAAAGATTGTATCCATGTAATAGGATGTAACAATATTATTTTCAGCATATTTTTTTTATCTTTAATATTGAACTAATAATTAAACAAAATGTTTATGCTAATAAAATTTTATATTTGGACATTATAAATTTCTATTATCATGTTTTTATTCGGTGTGTTAATTGCCTGTTTTATAATTCAGGCTGTTTCATCTTTTAAAGACAAATCTGTACAAGGCACTAAACTTATATGATACCCACTTATATAAAAAATATGAGTATTACTCTTCCTTTTATAATTTATTTAAATAAGAGCTGTAATTATATGTACATTCTTCTGTATTATTACTATACATAGTAAAAATATATGTGGCAGAACAGAAAAGTAAATTATTATAATGCAATAAATTTATCATTTTAAATAATTATAAAATAAAGTGATAGCAATCTCAATTTCCAAATATATATTGACTCTTAAAAATTTATTTCCAAATTAGTGAATTGAAATTTTCAAATACAATTGTTTCTAAATATATCTTTGTTAAACAAAATCATATATTAGATATTTCATTCATGGATACAGAATTGTTCCATGGTTTCTCTGGTTTCACAATTAAGTTGTACCAGAAACTTATAAGCATTTATAAGTACTCAACTATAATACAGTAAAGATCACATTCTAAAAATGTTATAGCTAATATACTATGTACATAGAAACATCTTTGTCAATAATTACCCTTAAAAGGTATATGTATGCATACATGTCAAAGTACATGTGCATATACAAATTAATATACATATGCACTGCCTATGATTCTATAGCACAGCTATACTAAATTTTAATACAATTTGTAAGAAGTTAAAATTGCACCCAACTGGAGTTTCCTACTGTTGATGGTTGCTGTTGTTGTGCCTGAGATTGTTGGGATGCACTAGCAAATTCTCCCCATTCTGAACTTGGCTGATTTTGGTTCTGTGCAGGTTTATGTGCAGGGGATGAAGTAGCAGTTTTTGCTGGCGGTGGTGCAATTTTTACACCACCTGGCGGGGGAGGTAAACCAATACTTGTATTGGGTCGCTGTTTTGCCTTGGAAGAGACTTCACTGCCATCCTTTTTCTGTACCATAATTAAGAATATTACTCCTTATTGTTCAATTTATTACAATATTTCTATATAAATGTATACGTATAAAATAGTTGAATAATCTTACAGTAATCTTCATGTTGATTTTAATTGTTTCGCCTTCTTTAAATCTTAGATCCAGCTCTTGTTTTGGTTCATCTTTTTCTTTCTCTATTTCTTCTTGATTTTTAAGCCATTTAAAATGGTCTTGAAGCGCAACATTTAGATCAAAACTATCCGATCTATCCAAAAATCCAATACCAAGAAAAGCTGATCGTCCATTATCATTTTGAACTCTCAAAACAAAATAACGCGAAGAATCTGTGACTGGCTCAACTGCGATACCTGGATATTTATCAATGGGACATTTTGCAAACAATTCACCTGTAATTTTATCTTCAAGTTTTATTGCTATTGAATTTCCTTGAGACACAAGACGCATACGTCCAGTCCATGTAGGATCTTGAAGATTCCAATCAGCTGCTCTATAAATATGCATAAAAAAAACTCGCAATTATTACATACATATTTTATTATTCATATTTCTTATGCGTATCTTAAAACAATGGATTTCTTCACTTAATAAAATAAAAATTGTATATTATTTTGATGTTTGTAATATCCGTCAAAATTAAAAAAAAATATATATAATTTTAATAATTTAGACCAAAATCATTAAAATGTTTTGTGGATCAAATTACAGATATAAAATTATGTAAAAGTATGTTCAATATGTTGTTCTGTCAACAGTTTCCGGTACAAATTTTGCTGACGTATTAATTGTACGAGATTGAGATGAAAAACACATAACATTAAAAAGTCTGGTCAATGATGAAGGAAGTACAATCAGCAACCATGCGTTTACGTATGCAATGTTCTTTCAGTGAGATGCAATATTTTCAAAGGAAATACTGTCAAAGAAGAATCAATTCATACCGATAACCCCTATTCAATGACCTTGGTGGTATACTAAATACAAATACTTCACTCTTGACGAGTAATACACTTTCGTACGTATCCATTGTATTTTCGACAAAACACGGAGAAAGCGCGTAGGTTTGAGAGTTGAACTTGATGAAATGCTATTTGAAAATTCGTTTATATTTTGTGACGAATCTCCACCGTGATTTGATAACTTTATCTCTAGTCACGCCTCCCATCCCCCACACAAAGACCGTTAACCACAGATTATTTCACTAGCGATAATAGATTGCCTTCTACGTATAGTAAGTGCAACTGGTACAGAATTTCTTTCGTATCTTTACAAATCTGAATGTTCAAGGAAATGCTTGTAAATAATAGAAGAATATTTTGTCTTTACTCTTATTGATCGAGACTCATCGATATTTCTATTTTTTAAAGAAAAATAAGGCGTTAAGGGAGCCCGCCAAAGTGCCAAGTTACAGAGGAGCAATATAATCAAAATCAAAGAAAAACAGACTAATTCTTATATATACAACTTCTAAATTGGATTCTTGCTATTGTCAATTGTTAGTCATCGTTAAACCGGCAACAATGTGCATATGTTTTTAAATTATTTTCATAACAATTTTATAATCATAGTGAACAGTATATTACTAATCTCGAATGCTGCTCAATGGCGTTAACGAGTAGTGAGAATCCAGCCTAATATAAGAAATTATTTGAAAGCATTACTATATATATATAGTATAGTATGTGTTATATATATATATATATAGTACATATAATAAAAAACGTAATTATTATTTTACATAAAAGAAATAATAGAAAATACTAGTTTTTTTAGGGACAAAATATTATTTAATTTGTATAAACACTGTAGATAATTATCTGTGAGATAAATACTACGTTACATGTTTTACGAAGTAACGGATTTTAAGCATTACATTAATTTTTGTTGATTATTATTTTTTTAGTGGTCACGAGGAAATCTCCGCGCGTAAAATTTAATTCTACGAATATAATTCAAAATTGAATTTCGATGTGTTCTATTTTTCTTATTGGAACAATTTATTTCATATTTTGACAAGTAACCAATAACCATGTTTATCAGTGTGCATTTGTATGCATTGTGAGACCGACTGTGAATATTTGTGGGAAGTTGGGGTTATTTGAACAATTTTATCAATGTGTATTTTCAATCTTTTTCTAACCAATGCTGTTTAAATGCAGTTGCAAATTATAGAAACGTAAGACTGCGAACATCCCTAATCCCCGCGCTCATCGGGGAGTAATTTACAGGTTTGAAAAGGACCAAAATATTGCTTGTTTATAAACTCTACTGTGAAATATTGTTTGGCGATATTTTTTTGAATTCAGTGCAATGATCTTTCTAATTGCAAAATTATCATGTAATTTTTTTTAGGGATAAGAATAATAGAATAACAACAAAATGATGCATAGAAGAGGAGGAAAACGAATACGGATGGATGATCCGGTGCCTCCAGAATATGATGCTCCAATGACTCCAATGACCCCTATGAATGATAATTCTGGTGAAGCAAATGAATCTTATCCTAATTATACTCCTTATAGTCAAGCACCTCAAACACCCATACATAATCCAACGTAAATACATTTTTGCTGATTTATTTATTAGTCAAATTTTTTCTTATATAATTGAAGCTACATATACTCAAAATATCAATAAATATATTTGTTTAGTCCTGAACATTATTCATCTGAAAGCTATAGTTCACCTGGTACATCGCAACATCAATATCAAGAACAAACAAGTGGTTTTGAGAATCAGTCTCAGTTTGAACAACCTATGACACCAGCGACACCGACTAATATGAGGATTACAAGGAATACACGTGCTAGGATGCGTGGTATGTTTCACAGTGACATCTTCTTTTATTATTAACTACAGTGTTTTACTATTAACTATTATTTTTTAAAGGAGGAACAATACAACAACCAAAATACAAAGAGATAGATACAGATTACATTCCAACTACTACTAGTAGAGGAAGAGGGGGTGGTGGACGTGGACGTGGAAAAAGAACACATCATTCGCATAGTTTGGAGGATGAAGCTAGTCTTTATTATGTTATCCGAAATAATCGCTCTTCATTAACAGTATGCATATAAGAATATTAAAAAATTCTTAAAAACAAAAATTAAGTATTATAGAATATTTTGGACTGGAGAACTTACAATAATTGTTACTTATGTATGAGATGGTATTAAAACATCAAATTAAATATTACTTTTTACTTCTCTAATCAGGATAAATTATATTTATTTTTGCATTCTTGCATTTAAAATAAAAAGAAATGACGATTCTACATTATTTCTTGATGTCATCATCGAATACCTATAGATCCAAAGTATTCAATAAATTCATTGATAGTATTTTTACTAGTCTTTATTATTATTATTATATTGTTTTATTTATAGACTATTGTTGATGACTGGATAGAAAAGTACAAAAGTAATAGAGAAAATGCTCTTCTTATGTTAATGCAGTTTTTTATTAACGCAAGTGGCTGTAAGGGTCGTATAACTTCAGAAATGCAGTCAACAATGGAACATGTGGCAATTATTCGAAAAATGACTGAGGAATTCGATGAAGTATGCAAATATATATATATATATTTATATATTTATATGTAATATATATTTATCATATTTAATTATTGGTCATTTATAATATAGGAAAGTGGAGAATATCCATTGATTATGACAGGACAGCAGTGGAAAAAATTTCGTGCAAATTTTTGTGAATTTGTTCAAATTTTAGTTCGACAGTGTCAGTATTCTATAATTTATGATCAGTTTTTAATGGATAATGTAATTTCGTTGTTAACTGGTCTCTCGGATTCACAAGTCAGAGCTTTTAGGCATACAGCAACATTAGCTGGTATATTAAATATATATATATATATATATTTATGTGATTATATATGCACTTGTATATATAAAAACTTAATATTGTCTGCAGCTATGAAACTTATGACAGCGTTAGTCGACGTTGCTCTCACCGTATCAATAAACTTAGATAATACGCAACGACAGTATGAAGCAGAAAGGCAAAAGGCTAGAGAAAAGAGAGCTGCGGATAGATTGGAATCGCTAATGGCCAAACGAAAGGAACTTGAAGAAAACATGGATGAAATTAAGAATATGCTTACGTATATGTTCAAATCTGTATTCGTACATCGTTACAGAGACACATTACCAGAAATACGGGCGATTTGTATGGCGGAGATTGGAGTTTGGATGAAGAAATTTCATCAAAACTTTTTAGACGATTCTTATTTAAAATATATAGGTAACCTAATTTTTATTATCATTTTATATTAGTACAGTGCACAATATATATATTTATATATACACAATGTAATTTCTTAGGTTGGACGTTACACGATAAAGTTGGCGAAGTTCGTTTAAAGTGTCTTCAAGCATTACAACCTTTATACGCTTCAGAAGAACTAAAAACTAAGCTTGAACTTTTCACAAGTAAATTTAAAGACAGAATTGTCGCGATGACATTGGATAAGGAATACGATGTAGCGGTGCAAGCCGTTAAACTTGTCATTTCGATTTTAAAACATCATAGGGAGATTCTTACTGACAAGGACTGTGAGCACGTATATGAACTTGTTTATTCATCTCACCGTGCTGTCGCACAGGCAGCGGGTGAATTTTTGAATGAACGTTTATTTCGGCCTGATGACGAGGCAGTAGCTGGTATGAAGACTAAGCGAGGAAAGAAACGTTTACCCAATACACCTCTCATTCGTGATCTTGTTTTATTCTTTATCGAATCGGAACTTCACGAACATGGAGCGTACCTGGTAGATTCATTGATCGAAACTAATCAAATGATGAAAGATTGGGAATGTATGACGGATTTACTATTAGAAGAGGCTGGACCTGAGGAAGAAGCTCTAGATAACCAAAAAGAGACGTCATTAATTGAGCTGATGGTTTGCTGTATAAAACAAGCTGCCACGGGTAATTTTACACTTTCCTATTTTTACGTGAAATAATGTAAAAAAATAAAAACATGCTTTTCATTTTAAAAACAGGCGAAGCTCCGGTTGGTCGGGGACCAACTAGGAAGATTCTTTCTGCGAAAGAAATGAAGCAAGTACACGATGACAAACAACGACTAACTGAACATTTTATTCAAACGTTACCTTTATTGCTTGATAAGTACAGAGCGGATCCCGAGAAGCTCGCAAACTTACTCGCTATCCCTCAGTATTTTGATTTAGATATCTACATCAAGTCTCGTCAAGAACAAAATTTAGATTCGTTGTTAAATAAGATTCACACAATTGTAGAAAAAATGCATGATACCGAAGTTCTGGATACAGCCTCGAAAACATTGGAGCATATGTGTATAGAAGGACACGCTATATTCACTAGGTGAAGTTTCGTAATATATATTGAAAATATTTTAAAAAGAATATGAATGTTTGACGTTTAACGTATTTTGATGTAGGTGTGACGTAGCGCGTTCAACTTTAATCGATTCTATTGTAAATAAATATAAAGAAGCTATCGACGAATATAGAAATTTAATAGAGGGAGATGAAGAACCCGATGAGGATGAAATTTTTAATGTTGTTCAGTCCCTTAAGAAAGTTTCAATATTTTATTCTTGTCATAATATGAATCCCTGGGGAATATGGGATTCTTTGTATAAAGATATCGAAGATGCCAAGGACCCATCGAAGTACTACTAGTACTCGTATTATATTTATAAAAGCATAGAAAAAATAATTTCACAATTATAAAGTAAAAATTTTATTTCAGATGTTTACCGCACGAAGCGATCAAATATTGCATAAGTGCATGTTTCTTTGCCATCTTATGGGGACAAAATCATCTTATGGAGTCGGTAGATTCTGGAAATCGAGGTGAAGATGAGTGTCGACAGTTAAAAGAACGATTGCATTCTTTCATGGGCTCGATGCGACATTTTGTCAGTGGCGATGGAAGCGGCACTGTAATTATTTTATTATTTATATTTTTTTACATAGAAATATGTGAGTAATAATAACGTAATTAATACATAAAATCTATTAATATCTTTTCCTAGCCTTCTCCGCCAATTTTAAGGGAAGAAGCATATAATACGATATGTGATTTACTAGTAGTATTTTGTAACCAACTGACGACACATTCTAATCCTTTGATGCATCATTTGGTATACGAACCCGATCAAGCGATGCAAAATATGCTTAATCGGTTCATACAAGAATACGTATTTTTTGAAGAAGAAGATGGTGTGTTATTAATAACACAAATTTTTGTTAAAAAATAAATTAATTCATACAGTTTATATTTGCAGATGAGCATGACGAACATTCAAAGATTGAAGAGTTACATAAAAGAAGGAACTTCTTAGCGGGTTATTGCAAGCTAATTGTATATAACATGATACCTACCAAAGCGGCAGCGGACGTGTTTAAACATTATGTAAAATATTACAATGATTACGGAGATATTATTAAGACTACGCTAGGGAAGGCTAGAGATATTAATAAAACAAATTGTGCATTAACGATGCAGCATAGTTTGAATATTTTATATAATGAAATAATAGCTGAGAAAGGCAAAGTCAATAGAAACAGCGAGGAGTTTACCGCTATAAAGGTTTGTATTCAATTATAAATATTCCGTAACTATAATTATATATTTTCCGACCGTGTACCATTTCACTTGAAATGAGAAGAATGACCGAGTTACTACGCATAATAATATGTGTATTAATATTGAACATATTTCAGGAACTTGCAAAACGATTCGCTTTGTCATTTGGGTTGGACGCAGTGAAAAATCGTGAAGCAATTACGGCTTTGCATCGGGCGGGTGTCCTCTTTGCTATTACACCTCCAGATGGCATCGAACAAGATCCTACTGGACCACCACCTAATTTATCTTTTCTTGAAATCTTATCCGAGTTCACGAATAAGCTTCTTAAACAAGATAAACGTGTTGTGTAAGCATAATAATTTATTTTAACTGTACTTATTGGGGGCTACACTGATCAACTTCATGAAATAAGAATTAGGAAAAATGTATGTTAAAAATATTTAAATTTCTGTTGAAATATGGAAATACGTGTTATATACTAAATGAAACAAAATATAACTTTTCTATTGTTAGATATAAAATATGGAAAATTGAATACCCAAAGTAAAGAAGTTTAACATTTGAGGATGATCAGTTCGAAATTTTAGAGATTTAATTGTGAATTAATTTTGGTACTAGTTGTATTATAAATAACTGTATATTTATTTTGCAGATTAAACTTTCTTGACAGAAGATTACAAGCAGGAATGCCTTCCTCGCGGGGAGAAGATTGGCAGCCTTTGCTTTTGTATAGAAACAGCCTTTTGCATGGTGAAACGGATCAAGTTCCAGTAACGAGTAAACGTGCTTACACAAGACGTAAGAAGGATCACTTAGCTGGTACGTTTTTATATTCTATATAAATTAGTACAAAATGAATATATTTCTTTGCAAGACTTTCAAAGCTAATTTTTTATAATTCAAAAAATGTTTGTTCACGTATCTTCGTATTTTTTGCAGAAGAAGAAGAAGTAGATGAGCCTGAAGAAGGTTCTGATCATGAATTTTCTGGGTGAGTTAGGTATTCACGCCAACTACTAATAGTAACATACTCTTTATATTTTATTTATTCATACCATTTGAAAGTAGAACAATTATACAGTTTCAGATAATTGCTACATGTAATACTACTAAATTTGTAATGTTGTTTTTATTAATCCATAACCTTAATATATGCTAAAACATGCTTTTTTCGCTTTCATATTGTATAATATGTTCTGAATGATAAATTTCTTAGATACTTATAGAAAATATGGCCAATTTTGATACTAAATTTACACGCTTACGTAGTTACCTTAATTCACATGTATTGCGCACATTTCTTTAACTATCGTTATTATAGCACTATAACATCATTGAGTGCAAAAATCAATCCCGTACTATCACTAGCTGAAACTATGAAACCTATTTGTTTCTTCATTATATTTTATTTTGCATTATTATTTTATACTTTGCTAAAATGTGTTTATTATAATTTGAAACATTGTGTTGCATTAAAGCTTTGAAAATATAGAAAATAATTTAAATTACAAATTTAACACACTAAAAATTATAAAATGCATAATCGATTTAATTTATGAAAAATATTTTGTATTAACAAAATACTGCTCCATGTAGATTATAGCATAGCATATTAATATTTTTATTTTTTGTTAATGTTTATTTTCTTATTTGAAACATTTTAAAAAATAAAATATTTTTTAAGTACGAAACGTTTACTCTTTTATCATCTAATTGCATGCTTGTGCTTTATTAATAAATACTTATTACCATTAGTGTCTTTATATACACCACAGATCTGTTGTCTTCGCATGGGTAGTAATCTTTTATGAATCGCTTGTTGCAGGCTACCTGATCGTTATTCAAGCTAAAAATTATTACTTTTAGCAAAATATATAATCGTTGTATTCATATAAGGGGCAAAAATTGTATAAGGAATTGATGAGGTCTGTTATTCTTAGTGCCTATTTTAAAATCAACTTCTAAACTAGTGTAAGGAATTAGCTATATATTAGTAATATATATGTATATATATGTATATAGATACATACTTATATACATATATATCATATATATATACACATGTAACATTATCAAAGTATCAATTCGTATACACATACATATTTATGTAAACAACAGAAGTTGTATAAGGAATTGAGAAGACGTATTGTTCTTGACGCCTATATTTAAAGCAACTCACAATTTCTATAAACTAGTGTAAGAAAATAATATAAAAACTATACGTTAATATTGTTGAGATAAAGAATCGATAATATTTTTGGAATGCCTGCAAAAGGAAAGTACATAGAGAACGATGTGTGTTTTGTTGAACCCATGAACTTGAAAGCAAATAAATCTAAAACATTGTGTATTTGTTTATATATTGATAATATACAAATTGGTGATAGACACAATAACCATGTGATATTAATTACAATACGACCCTCTTCTCCTTCGAGTTCCTGCATCCTACTTTATCAAAATTTGCAATTCGTGGCGATTAAACGACGCTGCAGTTCGTACGGTTTTTTTCCTCATTAAAATTCGCAATATTTGTGACAAAAATAATTCTTTAGTTTTGTATCACCCGTTTAGCCATCGAAGTTTTTATATTTTTCAACACGCCGTTCTCTATAATCACCGCAATATTATAAACACGTCTCAAAGTATTTTGTTTATTAATACTCGGACGAATACTATGCATTTCCTTCGAGCCGATAATCGTTCTTTCGGGTATAGTTACGAAGCATAATGATACGTATGTACGTGAAGAGTAATTTTGTAATACATGTATATGTTCGTATTACATAGAACTATGCGTGAGAGAAATTGAGGTGTTACCAAAGTAATTCTTAACGAGAATTACTAACACGAAATTTTTGTCCCTTTATTTATAAAATCAGCTCCAACACAATTCCACCAATAGAACCTTTTTCTTTCAGTAAACACAAGAAGAAACGTGGTCCAAGGAAACATCAGTGAGTAAAATTTTAGTTCATTTTAAATCTTCTACATGCATAAATTATTATTCATTTAAATAAATTAAGCTTTAATCTTAAACATATTTCAATTGACAAGCTATGGTGTCCATGAAATAAGTTTTGAATATGGTGCATCCTTTTAAGTACCATTAGTTTGAATCTTCATTTCAGATTAGCCGTTAATAAAGTATCAATAACTCGTGGATCTAGGGCAGCTGGATTTTACGAAACTAATGACGCTACACAAATGCAGACGTCCCCATCGGCAATTATTGAAGACGCGTCCACCAGTCCTTCTCAAGATATAGATAATAAACTAAAGACATTGCAGATTCAATCGAGGTCGTAAGTAATCTGTTTTAATGGTCTAACGGCCTGGAATAATTAAATTTATCGTCTTAAGATTGTTTTTAATAATAACAGTTACTATTTCTTTTAGACGAAGAAGTCAAGATCACGCGGAGCCAAGAGAATTAAGAAGAACATCTAGAAATTCTGGTCGCTACGTAGAAGGTCAATATATGGTAAGATTTAGCAATTCATTCATTCAATAATTCGAAAATAACATCCAAGCAAATCACAAGTTTATAACAGTACAATTATGGTACATTAGTTTGTTAATAGCATCATATGTATTCTTATACGCAAATATGGTTTAAAATATTACTAGCATAAAATTATAATTTAAATTAATGTATACTGGAGTACATAATTCAAATTTTCCTTTTAGGAGTAATATATTTGACCTGTTTCCTAAGATTGTCAAAATTCATTTGCTCCATACAGTAAACTTGTGAATATAATAAAATTAGAAAAGTATAATTTACATAACATTGTACGTCAAAGTATAGATAATTCGAAATACATCAGTTTCTACTAGTTAGTAGAAAGTTCATATCGCCATGATTTTCCGTTAAAATAATATAATATGTTTTTGTTATAGGAATCAGATTCCGAATAACGAAAGAGAATAGAAAAATTGTATTGTACCCAAGTTGACTGAGTTCCAAGAGGAAGTGATTTGTGATACATTTTTAATGCACGTATCGGATTGAATAGGTTTTAAATAACATAATATACAAAACATATTCAATCAGTTATACATGCAACACAAAATAAGAAAACTTTACTGATTTTAAGTTTTCAAGTTACTATAAGTGTTTCTAAATCATTTATATAAAATATTTTTGTTATTTAAAATTGCATACACTTTTCAGTCAACATTGTATTACATATGACATACCATTCATTTCATAATATCAATGTTTTTATATTGTCAAAACATTCAAGTACTACTGTTATTATAAAACTATTTAATTATTGTCTAAATAAATGACTATGATGTATGAGTGATAAATACTTCTTCTGTTTTGTTGTTGAACTACCTAGTATTAAAATTAGAATACAATGTTTCTTTGTACAAATCTTAAATCGACAAGAAAAATTGAAAAAGAAATATTCCATCCCTTTTAAATTTACAAACATCGATGTTACAAAATATTTCACATTACGTATGTGATATTGTTCATCTATCGGTTGTACCACGATATTTACGGAAAATGCTACTCCTTCTACGATCTCTTGGCGTGACTGCTACATTCTATTAAAATAAAGTTACATGTAGTTTTAGATTTAATAATTTCATAAAGAAATAATACAAAAAGAACGAATATGCGAGTTTGATAGATAAACTGTGTGTAAAAAAATAATTAGTATTTTCCTTACTTCGTCTTGGCGTCTTGAAATGAATAAACTCTTCAATGTACGTGGAGTAGTCGTTGCTCTGTCCTTATTTCTTTCTTTCAGTATCCTTGAATTTGGGCTTTTCAATTCATTACCCTATAATTTTAAAAATGAAGTAAATAATAAATAATCTGCAACTAGATAATTGATCTTTATATATATGTATATATTAGTACTAGAGAAAACTTACTTGTAACGATAATCTTCCACCATTTCTACTAGGAGTTGGAGGACCAGGTTTTTTATATGATGTCTGTAAGAATTAAATTATTATTGATAACATAACAATAGTTATTACACCTCCACTCCGTGTATAAAGTTAAATTTAAGATGCTTACCTGAGTTCTATCTTTTTTCTTTGTTTTTTGTTCAGGAAGCAAGCTCTGACTTAAACTATCATTAAATGTTTCTTCTGGTACTGAGCCTGACTGTAAATAAATTTTACGTACAAGATATTATAAAAAATACAATCTGCACAATACATATGAGACATAACAATTACCTTTATTTCTTCCTCTGTAAATGGTAAAGGATGAAATTGCATTTCAGCAGGATAAGATGATTTTAAGTGTGGTTTGCAAAGAGCATTTCTTTTTTTCAAAATAGATAATCGATCAGTATTCGTATTGAACGAAGAATGGTCATCCTTCATATCAACTAATAAATGAAATTAATTAAAATTATTTGACGTACTTATTTATAAATTTTATATACTTTACCTAAATAATTATTATCAAAAATTTCGCCTTCTTCGTCCTCTGCATTAAATGCATTACCCATTGTTTGTATACTTCTAATACTACATCTTCTTTCGTAAGCTGCTTTTTCTTGTATCACTGCAACCTTATGCAAAATTTCTTCCTTCTTTTCTCCCGACAATAAATTTGTTTTTTCGTATCTGAAAGACATATTAAGTAACAATTATGAAAATTTTGTTAAACGTCATAAAAATTGAATATCATTATAATATATTTTATCTTACTTAGAAGTTTTATACTCAATCGAAGAAACCACTTGTTGATCTAAATACTTATATTTAACTTTTAGTTCATTTAATTCTTTTTGTAATTTCTCTTTTTCTTGTTGTTCGCTTAAGAGTTTTTCTCCCACGTTCCAGATCTGTGAACTCATACCTGCAACATGTGCTTTATATTTGCTTAATTCATCTGCTTGTTTGCGACACTGTATTTCCATTTTTCTTTGTAGGGACTCCAATCTTTTCTGTATGCATTGTTCTTGTTCTTTGTTTAGCTTAGATATTTGTTCAAGATATGCTGTTTTCTGTAATATGTATTACAGGAATAAACGAATCATAATGATTGCAAAAATAAAATATATTATATATGTGCCTACCATATTTTGTTTGCTTTCATCTAATTTAATTTTATATTTTTCATAAATATCTTTCATTTGATTGTCGACGTCTTCTTTTTTTGGTCTCTTACTTAATTCTTCCTTTTCTTCTTTTAGCTTTAAGTTTTCTTTTTTTAATTCAGTGATATCTTTTTTTAAAATTTCGACTTCTTTCGATGTGATAACTTTTAATTCATTTATATTTTCTCTAAGTTCGTCAATATGACCTTCTAATTTTGCATTCTGTAGTCGAGTACACTCCAATTTGCTCCCTATATCATTCTTCTCTTCTATCAGTATGTCAATTTTAGATTGCAACTTCTTCTCTTCTTTAGATTGAAATTTTGTATCCTCGGAATTGAAATTAGTTTCGAATGAAAAAACCAAGTTAGAGAAATCATCTATTTCTTTTTTAAATTGAATAACGTCCTTTTCTAACGCTACATACTTCTCTAGTTCAGTTTCAATTATTGCTTTTTCATTTGAAAAAGTATCTAAAGGAATGTTTGGGATTTGTTGATTCTTAGTTACATTCAAATAAGTATTTTTCAATATTTGTTCTGTCCATAAAAACTTCTGCCATAGAATGGTGTGTATAGGCATTATATTTTGCAAATGGTGAGTGTTATATTTAGTTAAGGTATTCTCTAGATCTGCTTTTTTAGTTTGCACGCATTTCAACTCATCACATACGGATTTGTCAATAGCAAAAATGTTATAAGATTTTGATAATAATTTATCCCATTTTTGTTTCAGTTCATCCAGAGATGTATCCAAATCTTTTCTTAATTTAAGAATATTCTGTAAGGGATCTCTTAATAATTCTTTACATTGAATTAGATTATTTAAACACTTTGTATGTGTTTCTTTTGTATTTTTTAATTCTTCTACTTCATTCTTTAATGTTTCAATTTCTTTACACTTCTTTACATAGTCATCTGTAATGACTTTCTTTTTCTCTAAATCATCATTTAAGCTTGCATTTCTATTAAATAGATACAAAATTAAGTTACGTGATATGTATACTTCGTTAATAGATGTCTTTATAGTATTTAAAATGTTATTATCAGTTTTATCATTATTGATATCTATACAAGATGTATCATAGACAATATCGGCATCAAAATTTTCATTTGTTGGATTTGCGTTTGCTACTGTCAATTTCAAATCATTTATTGAGTGTTCTAATTTTTTACAAATTTGTGTAATTTCTAACACCGTTAAATCTGCAGTTTTACAATGTTCTTTACTTTTATCATGTTCATTCTTTTCTCTTTTTAATACCTCTTGCAACTCTTCTATAGTTTTTATTTTCTTGTTCAACTGAATTTGAAATTCCGCATTTTTACTTTGCAGACTTTGATATAATAATTTTTCATCTTCCAGCTGCTTACATAATGTATCTTTTGATTTTTTAAATTCTTTCTGAAGTTGGTTCATTTGTAAGTTTTTTTCGTTGAGAGCTTTCTCTTGAGTTGTTAAAACTGCATCCTGAGTAGTTCTAACTTCTTGAAGATTCATAATTACTTCTTTCATTTTTGTTTCTGAAGCGATTGCCTCCTTTGATAAATTCTCAAATTTGCTTTCTACAAGCTCTAGTGTGCCCTGTTTTAATTTTACTTCTTCATTTAAGTGATCTAAATCATGTTGCTTCTCTAATAATTTTGTTTCTAATGCTTGTATGGAAGTCTCTAATTTTAATTCTTTTTCCTTTTGTAAATTAATTATATGTTCTTCTTTTAATTTGAGAGAAGAAATTTCTTCAATTAAATTTACAATTCTTTCATCTTTGAGTTTTAACTGATTCGATACATTAGACATGTTCTCTTGAGATAATTTAAGTTTATCGTTTAAGGTATGTAAATCAAGCAAAATTTTTTCATTTTGAGACTTCATATCTGTTTGTTGTTTTTCCAGTATTTCATTCGTTTTTTTAAAGTTTTCCGTCTCTTGCATGGAATCTTTTAATTTTTCTTTAATTTGCGTTAATTCTATCTCTAATTTACTTACTATTTGCTTATTCTTTACTAAATCATTCTTTAATGTAGTATTTAAGTTTTCAGTATCTTTCAATTCTTTTTCATTATTTGTAAGTGTATCTGCAATTTTTTTTCTGTGATTTTGTTCTTGAGTATAATTATTGTGTATCACTTCATAAGTGTTTAATACGTTTCTCATTGTTTCACTGTTTTGTTTCTCAAATTCATATATATGATTTAATACATTCCTCTTTGTTGAGTAAAATTCTGTTACAAATGCATTAAAATTTTCTTTCAGAATTTTTATGGATTCTTCAGAAGATTGTAATAATTTATTTTTCTCATCCAGTTTATTTTTAAATACACTCAAATCTTTTTCAACAATTTCTTTCTGGAGTTGAACACCTTTTAAATATGAAATTTCTTCTGAATATTGCTGTATAGTAGTATTAAGTTTGTTAATGTTTGTTGTATTTTCTGCAATAGTTGCTGTTAGCTTTAATACTGTCTCAATATTTTGTTTATCCTTGTTTTCTAAATTGAATATTTGTGATTGGTATTGTTGTGTCTTTAGTTTCATCTCTTCTATGGTATTATTCAGAAATTTTAATTCCATATGTTGAGTAACAAATTTCTTACTAAAATCATTTAATATTATTCGAAGCTTTTCTACAAGCTGAGCAGTTGCAGAAACATCTAAATCACTTAGATCATCTTTAATTTCTGTGTTATTAAGTATCATGTTTTTTAAATTTATATTGCAGTTTTCAATAGAAGTTTTATATAAATTATTTTTTTGCTTCAAATCTTGGACACATTTAACATTCTCAGACAATTGAGTTTTTGTCTCTTCAAGTTTATCATTTAATTTCATGTTATTTAAACTCTCATTATGTACAACTTCTTCCATAACTTTAATTCGTTCTTTCAAGGTATTTACCTCGATACTTAAAATATTTTTTGCTTCTTCAGTTTGCATCAATGAATTTTTTTGAGAGGTGCATATAGTTTCCAAACTCTCATTTTGATTTATTAACGATATCTTCTCTGTTTGTAAAGATTCAATCTCTTTACTAAATTTATCCAAGGTCGTATTTAATTTAGCTTCTGTATTTTGTAAACTTATTGTTTTTTCCTGTAATAGGTGTGTTACATGTTTATAATCTTCAGTTGTAGATTCTAGTTTTTTATTCAAAATGTCAATTTGAGTTTTTAATGAAGTAGATACTTCTTTTGCTTCTTGTAACTGTATTTCAATGACCGAACTAAGAGCTTCACCAGTATTTAAAGATGGTGCAGATAAATTTAAAGGTACTATGTCATCAACTTCAAAACTTTGTTCCTCGTTACCTGCTCTATTAAGTTCTTTTAAGTGAGCACGTAATTCTTCATTAGTCATTTTAAGATTCAACAGCTCTCTATCTTTAATTTCTTCTTGAATTTGCATATTTTCCAAAGACTTTTCATAAGTTTCTAATTTTTTCTTGAAATTTTTACATTGTCTTTCTGACTCTATTAATTTTTTGGTCAGAGTTGAATTCTCTGTTTCTAAGTTATCCATCTCATATTGTTTCTGTTTTAGTTCATTTTCTAAATAATCCATCTCTTTCTTGTAATACTGTTCACAATCTGTTACACCTTTCTTTTTCTTACAAGATTGTGGTGTTCTTGGTATTCTTTCATCTCGTAAAACTTTCAACTCCGCAGTTTTTTCTTGCAATTTTTTTTCTAACTTTTGTACTTTATTCTGTTGAATTCGTAAATCTTCTTGTAAATCTGTTTTCTCAAATCGCTCCACTTCTAATTCGTTCATCAATTTTCTCAATTCACGATTTCGTTCATTTAATAAGGCATAACGTTGAGCAGATTGTGTAGCGGGAGAATTAAAAAAATCTTTCAGAGAATGCGTTCTTGGTGTCACTGGTGTCTTTGGTGTATTCTCTTCTAATTCTGCTATTACTGTTCTCAATGACTCTCTATTTATTGCTTTTCCACAAGGAATAATCATTTCTAAGAACATTTTAATTTGAATTTGAGTTTCATATTTCAATTTATTACACATAGTTTCATAAAAAGATGGTTCATATTGGCATACATGTAGTAAAAATAAAGATGCAATGTCCATGTGATCCATCTCTTCCAATGTTTCCATATTAAATATACATTTTGGATACTTATCTATGTGAAACGTGAAAAATATAAAATATTGAAGAGCAGAAAATAAAAGGTACTTCATTTAATTTGACCACTTTAATTTTTTTATAAATCATATAAAAAACAATTAAATATCAAAAATAAAAAGAAAATTAAGCAAGTAAAGACTTTCATATAAATCTTTTTTCTAAAAATATATTTAATTTTCATAGATCAAAACTGACAGAAATATAATTAATGATCAAAAAAAAGTCAAATACCTTTTATACAATCAAAGTTTTATTA